TTAAATAAAATAGAACTTCTCATAAGGCCCTTGGAAATGCACACAAGGGCCTTGTGTCCAAAGTGTTGCTCTGTGGGAGTATTTCCACTTTCCATAGCACTGTAAATTGTTCTCTGGAGGAATGTTATTCCTGCTGAAAGAATAGTGAGATCTCTGTGGCATGTGATCAGAATATGACTATGTAAAGGTGGTCTGCAAATCAATCTGACAAAATGCCATCAGGTGTTTGTGCTGAATGCCCTCATTCTCCAGGCTAAACAGAAGAGGGCATTCAGTACATAACCAGAACACTTACTATCTTTTTTTCTTAGGTCCCATGATGTCCAGCCCCACTAGGGCTTCCGGCTCCCGCTCCGATGTAACGCCCCAGCATGTACCATGCTGGTGATGTCACATCACCCAGGGATCCTGCTGGAGCATGGAGCCGGCCTACAAGGGGTCAGGTAAGTGACTTTTTAAAAAGTACATTGCACAGTTTTGCAAAGTCTTATAGTTTTTGGTTTGGGGTTTTTTGTTTAATTTAAATTTCTTCTTAGGTCATGGGACCTAAAACGAAAGCTTTTCAAGTGATTAATATTCTGAATACACCCATTCTTGTAGCCTGGCTAATGGGGGCATTCAGTATATTGTATTGTTAAAGTTGATGCAACTTTGCCGAGTTGATTTGCAGGTCACCTTTAACTTACACTTTAACTTATGTGCACATTTTTATAAAATGTGTGTTTGCCATATCATGAACCACTTTATTCGGCTTTCTCTGTCTTACCACATGCTGTGATTTTTATTCCAAAAAGTTCCTGGTTTCTAAAACATTGATTTGGGTGCAGAAGCTTCTGACCTAGTACCATGATAAGGACATAGCAATTTTGTCAGTCTGGATCAGATCAGTCAGTGATCCAGCTAGTCCGGTGTCTTTTCTCTAGCAGTAGCTTATACCAGATGTTTCTAAGCAAGGTGTGAGAAACTCTGCAGTAGGCAGTTCTGGCAAGATTTTCCTAACCTTCTCAATTAGCAATTGACTCATGTCCTGAAATGAGGTTTTAGTTCCTTTCCAAAACTAATCTGTATGTTTAATATTTGTTATAACAACTTTGGATATTCTCATTACCGTAATAAATGTCTAATTTTTTTTAATTTTATCAAGCTCTTGGCCTCCGTAATGTCCTGTTATGATCAGTTCTACAGGCTAATTGTCCATTGCGCTTCTTGTGATTAGTTTTGAATTTGTCACTTTTTAGTTTCACTGGCTGTCCCCTTGCTCAGGTATCATGAGAGAGGGTGAATAAAAGCTCCCAACCTTCCTCTCTAGGTCACGCATTGTTTTGTTTACTTTTATTGTATCCTCCTATAGGGTAACAATCCTGGTCTTTGCAGTCTCTTCATCGGAGACTTTATTCAGGCCCCTAGTCAGTCTCATTACTCTTCTCTGCCCTCTCTAATTCTGCAGAATCCTTTGTAAGATACAATAATGCTATTTTCCTTATTATTCTTTATTCCATTACATAAAACACAGGATCCCTTAAGTGTCAGATGAGGGCTTTGACCAGAAAGCATTGGAACAGGTCTCGCTGTACACAGGGCAATGTACAGTTACATTGCCAAACAGGCACTTTGGCAGGGAGAGCATTCGGAGGCTCATGGAGGTAGAGGATAGAGGACACTACACGTCTTTTTCCACATAACTGTTTAACAAAGGATGTCTTGTGTTAGTGCCGACGTTTCAATCCCAATTGTACATCTCAAAACCGCTGGTGTGTGGAAGATAAAATGCTTGGTTTTGAAAGATACACTGGAAAGTATTTTTAAAATCCTGGATATGAGGCTTTTTTTTTTCCCCTTGGTCCCTTTATTATGGCTAACCAAAACCTGAAAAGCTTTGTTTTGTGTTGGGTTTTTTGGGGGCAGGTGATTATTTCTGTTTTTTACCTTAAAAATATCTGGAATATCAACTCTGGTGTTTCATGGATTTCCTGGTAGACTTCTGGGACATCTCAAGACATGTACATTGTGAATTCTCAAAGCTTAATTGAACTTTTGGGGGTGTTGAATCTTTAACAAAAGCATCTTTTCTCCCAAAACTTCATTTGGAGTTTAAATTAAATAGGCCTTAACAAAAAACAAACTAGAATTTTGGGCAGATGAACTAAAAGCCTTTTTCCTCTTGGTTGTTCAGCTTCCAGTTTCTTGGTTCTTATGATGTCATTGTTTCGCTACTTCTCTAGTAACAATAGAGCCTTCCAGGACAGGCAAGACCTAAATATCTTATGTTTTTAAAAAAAAACTTGTAGCTTAAAACAAAACCAAATGCAACCTTAGTCTTCTGTATCCACCTTAAAGTGGAAGGAAGGTACGAGTGCCTTGTTTTCCTTTGCAGGTCAATTTTGTGAGGAAAGGGAGAGAGTGGCACTGGAATTCTCTGAAAGTAGTTTCTTTCACAGGTCTCCTTACTCATACGCTCTCCCCCTTATGACAGTAGGTTTCAATGTATAATTGAGACAGTTCCATACAAACCAATGGTATAGTAATTGACAATTGGAGCATATAAACTGTAGAGGGGGAGATGCTTTTTGAAGCAAGGAGTGTGGGTTTAAATAAAATAGAACTTCTCATAAGGCCCTTGGAAATGCACACAAGGGCCTTGTGTCCAAAGTGTTGCTCTGTGGGAGTATTTCCACTTTCCATAGCACTGTAAATTGTTCTCTGGAGGAATGTTATTCCTGCTGAAAGAATAGTGAGATCTCTGTGGCATGTGATCAGAATATGACTATGTAAAGGTGGTCTGCAAATCAATCTGACAAAATGCCATCAGGTGTTTGTGCTGAATGCCCTCATTCTCCATGCCCACTTTTTAGTTTCACTGGCTGTCCCCTTGCTCAGGTATCATGAGAGAGGGTGAATAAAAGCTCCCAACCTTCCTCTCTAGGTCACGCATTGTTTTGTTTACTTTTATTGTATCCTCCTATAGGGTAACAATCCTGGTCTTTGCAGTCTCTTCATCGGAGACTTTATTCAGGCCCCTAGTCAGTCTCATTACTCTTCTCTGCCCTCTCTAATTCTGCAGAATCCTTTGTAAGATACAATAATGCTATTTTCCTTATTATTCTTTATTCCATTACATAAAACACTGGGGTTTTTTTAGCCATTGCTGCACATTGAGCTGTCTACAGTGATACCCAGTCCCTTTGCTGGGTTGATGTAGTTAATTTAGAACCTTTTAAGATGTATGAACAATTCATATTATTCTCTCCAATGTGTGTGTATTGTATTTGTCAAAACTGAGTATGTGCTGACATCATTTTGTCCATTCACGTAACTATGCTGGGTACCTCTAAAGGTCCTAATGCTCCTTTGTTCTTGACTAAACTAAATAATTTTGTCATGTGCAAATTTTGCCACTTTGATGCTTGCCCCTTTTTTCCAGATAGTTAAATAATAAGTATATTAAACATTGGTATTCTACCTTGTGGCACCAGTGTTAACCTTTGTCAAGATGTAAACCGGACATTTATTCTTATTCTGTTTTCCTTTTTTTAGACAGTTTTTGACCCATAAACGATATTTTGCCTTTTTCATCATGACCATTTAGTTTCTTTAGTAGCTTTTTTGAGGGACTTTGTGAAAGGCCTTCTGAAAGTCTCAATGAATTGTTTGCCTCTCTCCACTTGTTTATTGACTGATAGATTAGTGAGACTTGATTTTCCTTTGCAAAAACTTTGCTGATTATACCCTGTCATAGTGTGCTCTTCCTAGTGTCGTATTCTATTTTTAAATGATCATTTAGACCAAATTACTAGGTACCAGAAGGAAGAAGTTCTGGCATATAATTCCCTACATGATCCTTAGTGCCTCTTTAAAATATAGGCACTACACTTGCTACTGTCCAGTATATGGAATTCTTGAGTTTTTGCAGTGATGGTTCCTTCTAAAGAAGCGGCAAATGCTGATTCTTAAAGATCTGTCAGCTGCCTTTAACACCATGGGATATAAGTCTTGCTGACACGTCTGTGGTTCCTAGTAGGAGCAGGTAGAGCTCCTCCTGAGTGGCTCTACTCGTTTATTCTGGTGGGTAGCTTTGGGCAGTTGCTTTTAAGACTGGTTTCAGAGGAACAGCTGTGTTAGTCTGTATTCGCAAAAAGAAAAGGAGTACTTGTAGCACCTTAGAGACCAACCAATTTATTTGAGCATGAGCTTTCGTGAGCTACAGCTCACTTCATCAGATGTATAAAGCTCATGCTCAAATAAATTGGTTAGTCTCTAAGGTGCTACAAGTACTCCTTTGCTTTTAAGACTGTTTACTGCAAAGTACTGTAAAGTTACAGCTTGTTGCCCCTCTGGTATAGAAGTGTGCTGGGATGGTTATTGGAAATATGGGTTGCAGTGCTTTAGTTTGAATATGATGCTTAGCTCTGTGTCCCCATTACTTCTGAACCTACTCGTGCAGTGGAACAAAGGACCCAAGGTCTGTATGAGATTGAAGCATGGAAGAGGGCTGGCCTTCTCAGGCTCTGTTTGGATAAGGCTGAGGTAAATGTTGATTTCATGTGTGGATGGGGGGGCAACCAGAAGAATTTGGCAAGGAATATATGCTGTTTGTTATGCGGGTACATGAAGGAGATGGTGTGGTTAACTTTTTTCAAAAGGGACAAAACGTTTATCACACTAGAGTCAGTTACCAATATGTATTTTCCTAATGGTGCTTTTTAACATAAACAATATCTGTAGTCACCACAGCAATGTTCTGCAGGAGGCGAGGGAGACAGCAGGGGTCTGGGCAAAGGGGCAGGGATAGTGGTCTGCACAATCCTCAGTGCCTGGGAGGTGTCCATGAGAGAATCTCTCTGTTAAGGTGTGGTCCATAATGTGCCAAAAGTTTGAGAACCCTTCTTGTCCTTCCCAAGTGTGAATCTTTTGCAGAACCCTTGCTAGAGTTAATTAGTATTGCTTCTGTCTGCCCACTGTGCTTTAGGGGTAGAACTCACCCATTTCTTTCTTTCAAACAGATATGAAGTTTGCAAGTCAAGCGATGGTGCTGAGTGCATCACTCTTTCTGTATACTTCAGAGAAAAAAGAATAAGACAGTCCAGCACTTCTTCAGGGACTGTTCTTTGTGGGCAGCCACTACTAATCTCTGTGCCCAAACACAAGCTCACTCTGGATCACTTGTACAAGGTTGTCTTGGAGCAGATTGGGTAAGTACAGGCATGGTAGTGGGGATGTTCATACAAAATTCTAGTATTAGCTCATGCGGTTATACTGTAGTGGGTCTGTCTCAACCCCTCTGAGGTCAGGAAGCTGCCCAGTTTCTGGCCCAGAGCTCCACAGCTTTTCCCTGTGACCATGCTCCCTTTGATTTGCATGATTTCTGCAGTGGTTATTTCTTAATAACTAAGTTGTATGTAAACCCTTGTTCTCTGGCTGACAGGCCACCATTAGCCATTCAGAGTGAAGGGACTTGCATAATCGTTTTATGATAATTAAGGCAACTGTCTACTCCAGTTGACTGCTATAATCCCTCTGCTCTGATTGGCTCCTCTGCTTGAATTTTCTAGTTGTTTTCTTTCAACAAAGATGTTGCCACAGTGTCTGCCTCCTTCAGCTGAAGCCAAAAAACTTCATGAAAGAGAAGGGTAAAAAAAACAAAAATCAAAAGAAATGGGGCAGAGTCTGAAAGACCTACCCCCACCTTCCTTCTTCCACACACGCCCCCAGAGGAAAGAAAGAAAAGAAAATAACCGTGTGTGTGTGTATGTATACATGCAGAGGCCCCCCATTAAAATGTTCAGATATACTGGCAATCAGCATATGTAATAATGATATTCCCTTTACTGTCATTCAATTGCAGAGATAAAACTGTAAAGACTTTTGGGTAGGATTTTCAAAAACACTGTGTAAGCCTGAGTTTTCTCCTGTTGAAGCCAGGGCTGCTGTACATGGTGGTTTGTTTTGATTTGGTTCTGTGGACACTCAGGCTTGTTGTTCATTGTCTTTAATAGATGTACAGCAGTGGCTCTCAACCTTTCCAGATGACTGTACCCCTTTCAGGAGTCTGACTTGTCTTGTGTACTTCCAAGTTACACCTCACTTAAAAACTACTTGTTCATAAAATCAGACATAAAAATACAAAAGTATCACAGCACACTAGTACTGAAACATTGCTTACGTTCTCATTTTTACCATATAATTATCAAATAAATCAATTGGAATATAAATACTGTACTTACATTTCCATGTCTAGTATACAGAGCATTGTATACAAGTCATTGTCTGTGTGAAATCTTGTTTTGTACTGACTTTGCTTCTGCTTTTTATGTAGCCTGTTGTAAAACTAGGCAAATATCTAGATGAGTTGATGTATTCCCTGGAAGACTTGTGCGTACCCCCAGGGGTACACATACCCTTGGTTGAGAACCACTGATGTCGGGGACCCAGGCATTCTGGCATTGGGCACCCACATGAATGTCCTAACAAGAATACATTTTCTTTGTTTAGCCACTACATTAAATTCCCTCTGACAAAAGAATATTCTAGTGTATGCCTGGACAGTGGGATCTGCAATGGCTCCAGTGGTGGCTGCGAAGGTAAAATTTAATCATTTGGATTGGAGAAGCTTTGCTAGAAGGTCATTCAGACTACCTCTATCCGCTTTTAATTTTCTGCTTTATTGCATTATTGTTGTGGATTGCGGACTTTAATGGAATGTTTGGTTCTACACTGTGATTAAATCACATTATTGGAGAGGGCTTCTGATCTGCATGTGTGATAACAATGGCCCACAAAATCTCAAACTCCTCTGGTTACACAGTGCAGTATGTCAAGTTTGTGTATTTGAAGAACCAGGTGTAGTGCATTAGTCTTCTGCTACACTAGTAGTCTCTTGTCCCTGATCTCTATCAGACGTTCTAATGGCTCATTAAAGCAGGTGGCTGAGCAGCAGGAGGGAAAGGAAGGGGTCCTGTGAGGGCACTGTGGTGTAATCAAGTGAGAGAGTGCCCAGAGCCCAGCAGTCTAAAGCTACAGGGGCTCACGCCTGGGCAGAGCCCTACAGCCTGTTGCACATTTACACTTCTGTGGACACGCTGCCACCAGAGGATCCTGCTGTGCTGCCATGAGAGTAATTGTGGGAATAGGGGATAGGGAAGAACTTAAAACAAGAGACATGCTGCCTTGCTGTAGAAAAGGGGAGCTACCTCCCTTGGACCTTCCCGTCTTCCTCTGCTGAAAGGACAGACCCCACTGAACCCCTGCCTCTGTTGGGACACTGCTGGAGCATACTGTCAGCTATGCTAACTGGCATGACTTGTAGCCCAGTGTCCACCTGGTGTTCTTCACAGGAACAAAATACCTGTTTTGTCCTTACCTTCAGGACCCTTCACAAATTAGCCCCTCTGTCCTCTTTAGTGCACTAATGATGCCACTCTTGATCACGGCTTTCCCTCTTCTCCCACCAGCATCCATTGTTCTTTCTTCCATGAAGCTTCTCCCCAAAGAGCGGACTCATGGGGACTGATGTGGTCTGAATTTTGTGTCAGGCGGAGAATTAGCCCCAGCATTTTGAATGGATTGGATTTGAAAGGGGACGGGGCTGTGGAGGTTGCAATGACCCACCTGTGAGATTTTCAATTACCGGCAACTTTCAAATCTAGATTGGATGTTTTTCTAAAGATCTGCCCTAGTTCAAACAGGAATTAATTCAGGGAAGTCCCTGTGCCTGTGTAATAGAATCATAGAATCATAGAATATCAGGGTTGGAAGGGACCCCTGAAGGTCATCTAGTCCAACCCCCTGCTCGAAGCAGGACCAATTCCCAGTTAAATCAGGAGGTAAGATTATGTGTTCACAATGGTCCCCTTTAGAGTCCAGGAATCTGAGATGGTAAAACCCAGGTTGTATTACCTAGATCCCTCAATAGGAAAAATCGCCTTTCAGGTGCAACTGATTAGCAAATGCAAATTTCTTCTTTAAAGTGTGAATCTACTGTTTTTAGTTGGTTTGTTGTAAAGCAGCTTCTGCCACATCTTCACTGGCATTTGTGTGTCATGTAAGCAGAGTGTGCCTCTCCTAACGAGCTCACACAGCATGGTTCTCGGTGAGGTAATTGTGTCTCTATAAAGGCTACAGAGCATGTAATATTGTACTTGTTGTTTTTAATTCTCACCAGTTGAAGAGATGGAACATCAGGATGGAGATGAGGAGGGCAGGGAAAAAGCCTCAGAAACAGATTCCTGCCAGTCAGAGGGTTGTGCACATGATTTGCTGGGGAAGGAAGGGCAGCATCACAAGAAGCATCTGTTCACCTTTAGCCTTGTGAACTCCTATGGGACCTCTGAGATAAACTCAATTACGACAGAGGGGAAACTTCTAAAACTGAATTGTAGGTATCCTCTGTAACTCTTAGCTCTCCCTTCAGTAGTATGCTGACAGCAACCCTGACTCGTTGTTCTGTCCTGCAGCCTATGCCACCCTTGCTATTGACTTGGATCCAGACACCCGGAAGCTGCTGTTTGATGAACAAGAGTCACAGGTCAGTAGTTTGCTTCTTCAAAGGTTAATGATGTAATCTCTAGCTGGAGTTAGGCAAATGCAGAGATGCTGATACAGAATGCAAGAGCAGCCCCCTCCTAGGAATCCGAGTCCAGTATGGAAGAGGAAAATTTATCCATTTGCCTGAAAACTTCTAATAATAAGGTCTACAGATCCATTCCAGTGGGCCTTCAGCCTACTTCCTCAGGAGGCAGAACCAGAGCTGTCAGTCCCTGGCAGTGGGATTTGCCCCTGCCCTGAAAACCTAGCCAGTTTGAGAACTTGCACAGCAAAAGATAGTTTGTCTGGTCAGTAGACTAGTTCAGAATTCACTTCCGGAACACTTGAAAGATATTACAGTTATGTTCTGCAGAGCTTAACAGGAACTTGAACATTTCTTATTGACTTAAATCCTGAATTGGGGTCCCAGTTTGTAACTGAGAATGATCTGCTCTGTGTCTGGTCTGGATCTGTGGACCTTACTGCTGAGAGAAAGGAAACTTTCAGGTAAGCATGGGGAAATGTTTCTACTTTCTAGGGTCTATGCTAGGGTCTGCAGACCTCTTAAAGTGAGATTTTGATTGCAGTGTGCATGTCGGGAGGGAGAAAACTGACACAAACCTACCCTCATTTACAACCGACAGGCATGTACGTATGCAGTCACATGCTGCTGTTGCAGATTAACCACATTTAGGATCCAAGAGTATCCAGGGAGGCAATAGAGGTAAACTCCAGTTCTTCAAGTGATTGCAAATACCCATTCCACAGTAGGTGTTTGTGCGCTCCAGTGTATAGGTGTAGGAGAGTTTCAGCTGTGAGTGTTACCCGTTGGGGCAGCCTGAGCACCCACACCATGCAGGCATAAAGGGATGAGCTGCCCCGACCCCCTTCAGTTCCTTCCTACCCCCTGTGACAGTTTTTGGAGCTCCCTGGCCTTGCTTCTGCAAGTCTCTACTCCATACCTGTAAATAGTACCCGTCTATAGTCAGTACAGAAAATAATTGTTTTTGTTACTTTGTGTGGTTATGGCACCCAGTTTGGGTACTGGCCCCACTACTGAAGATATGCCTTGCTCTTCAGGCTTCAAGCCCTGACACTCTAGCAGCAAGGCAATGCCTAATAATGACTCTCACCCCAGCTGCCTTAAGTTCTTGGGGGAGGCTCATGTGAGTGATAGGTGTGGCATTTGTAAGGCCATTAAGCCACATTCTAAAAAAAGATAGGGCAGCCAGATTAAAATATCTCCTGATGGAACTGGCACGGTGTCCTCCATCTGAGCCATCTGCCTCAGTCCAGGTACCGAGTACCTTGGTGTCGGTCAAGAGCAGCTCACCACTGGGCAACCGGTACCAAGAGATGGATCAGCATAGTTAGTAACAGAGGCATCAGAAATTGGAGTTGATACTAGGTGTGTCGACAGAAGAACTCATCCTCTTTACGTCTGAAGACTTGGGAGGGCACTCCAAGAGGAAGCACTCATCAGAGCATTCCTCTAAACAGGGGATTTTGTTGTCTTCAAAGCCCAGCGCAGGCCTGTTGAGACTGACTCCTGAAGCACGTTAGTTGGCATCTCCTTGCACCACAGTGTGTCTTCCTGTTACTGTCTACCCCTAAGGCATTTGAGGCTACGAGAGGGTTGTTAAACCTCTGTGTTGCCGTCACCAGCAGTTCAAAAGCCTCTCCCTGCCCCCAAGATACTGCTTCGAGTGCCTTCGCCCCTGCACCAAGCAGCTCCATCAGATTGTGCCATCAGGGTACCAGTTAGGGCTGGACCATCCAAGGAAAAGCCACAGATGGTCTCCCCAGCTCCCCTTTCTTCAGATTCTGAGCCTTCTTCACTGCTACCAATGGGTATGGCTGTGACCACAAGAAGAGGTTTCTTCCTCATCAGACTCTGAAGTGGGATCCTGTGTATCCTAGCTGGTCCCATTAGGAGGGATGTGTTGCTGCCCAGCGTGGTTTCTGCCTCAGTACCAGCAGGATGCTTATAGAAGAGACCTCAGGACTAAGCATAGTTGGGAACTGGGTCCTTACCGGTGGACCTTTTGGAACCTGTGGGGCTTCCTGCCCAATCAGTAGCATCCCTGCAGCCACCTCAGCTGGCTTCATCTACTGGCGTCAGGAGCATCAATACCCCTGTGGCTATTGGGGTGCAATCCAGACCAGGGAGTGGCTGTGTCACCCCTGCTCTGTAACCTGGGGTGCCTTTGCAATGCCTTGCTGTAGCCTCCAACATGGACTGCTTTCAAACAGCCACCAGTCTGTTGGTCACTATCAGATGCTTGTGTGAACTGCAGCCTGCCAGCCTCTCAGCATCTTTGATTATTACTGCAGGGTAACCCCAACACACTCCCAATCCCAAACTTTCCCCCAGACATGTATATTCCACAGTGTCCAGCCCTCTCCCACACAGTCCAGAAATACTGTTTGTTATTCCCTTAAGGGTATAACGTACACCAGCTTATCTGATAAATGAAGTTACCCAGACACTTTACATCGTGCATTAGATGAAACAATAAAACAAATTTATTAACAGATTTCAGAGTAACAGCCGTGTTAGTCTGTATTCACAAAAAGAAAAGGAGTACTTGTGGCACCTTAGAGACTAACCAATTTATTTGAGCATAAGCTTTCGTGAGCTACAGCTCACTTCATCAAATGCATACTGTGGAAAGTGTAGAAGATCTTTTTATACACACAAAGCATGAAAAAATACCTCCCCCCACCCCACTCTCCTGCTGGTAATAGCTTATCTAAAGTGATCACTCTCCTTACAATGTGTATGATAATCAAGGTGGGCCATTTCCAGCACAAATCCAGGGTTTAACAAGAACGTCTGGGGTGGGGGGGGAAGGGTAGGAAAAAACAAAGGGAAATAGGTTACCTTGCATAATGACTTAGCCACTCCCAGTCTCTATTCAAGCCTAAGTTAGTTGTATCCAATTTGCAAATGAATTCCAATTCAGCAGTCTCTCGCTGGAGTCTGGATTTGAAGTTTTTTTGTTGTAATATCGCAACTTTCATGTCTGTAATCGCGTGACCAGAGAGATTGAAATGTTCTCCGACTGGTTTATGAACGTTATAATTCTTGACATCTGATTTGTGTCCATTTATTCTTTTATATAGAGACTGTCCAGTTTGACCAATGTACATGGCAGAGGGGCATTGCTGGCACATGATGGCATCTATCACATTGGTGGATGTGCAGGTGAACGAGCCTCTGATAGTGTGGCTGATGTTATTAGGCCCTGTGATGGTGTCCCCTGAATAGATATGTGGGCACAGTTGGCAGCGAGCTTTGTTGCAGGATAGGTTCCTGGGTTAGTGGTTCTGTTGTGTGGTATGTGGTTGCTGGTGAGTATTTGCTTCAGGTTGGGGGCTGTCTATAGGCAAGGACTGGCCTGTCTCCCAAGATTTGTGAGTGTGTTGGGTCATCCTTCAGGGTAGGTTGTAGATCCTTAATAATGCGTTGGAGGGGTTTTAGTTGGGGGCTGAAGGTAACGGCTAGTGGCGTTCTGTTATTTTCTTTGTTAGGCCTGTCCTGTAGTAGGTGACTTCTGGGAACTCTTCTGGCTCTGTCAATCTGTTTCTTCACTTCCGCAGGTGGGTATTGTAGTTGTAAGAATGCTTGATAGAGATCTTGTATATGTTTGTCTCTGTCTGAGGGGTTGGAGCAAATGCGGTTGTATCGCAGAGCTTGGCTATAGACGATGGATCAGGAAGTGTGGTCAGGGTGAAAGCTGGAGGCATGTAGGTAGGAATAGCGGTCAGTAGGTTTCCGGTATAGGGTGGTGTTTATGTGACCATCGTTTATTAGCACTGTAGTGTCCAGGAAGTGGATCTCTTGTGTGGACTGGACCAGGCTGAGGTTGATGGTGGGATGGAAATTGTTGAAATCATGGTGGAATTCCTCAAGGGCTTCTTTTCCATGCGTCCAGATGATGAAGATGTCTAGAGCAAGTAGAGTAGGGGGCGTTAGGGGACGGAGAGCTGAGGAAGCGTTGTTCTAAGTCAGCCATAAAAATGTTGGCATACTGTGGGGCCATGCGGGTACCCATAGCAGTGCCACTGATTTGAAGGTATACATTGTCCCCAAATGTAAAATAGTTATGGGTAAGGACAAAGTCACAAACTTCAGTCACCAGGTTAGCCGTGACATTATTGGGGATAGTGTTCTTGACAGCTTGTAGTCCATCTTTGTGTGGAATGTTGGTGTAGAGGGCTTCTACATCCATAGTGGCCAGGATGGTGTTATCAGGAATGTCACCGATGGATTGTAGTTTCCTCAGGAAGTCAGTGGTGTCTCGAAGGTAGCTGGGAGTGCTGGTAGCGTAGGGCCTGAGGAGGGAGTCTACATAGCCAGACAATCCTGCTGTCAGGGTGCCAATGCCTGAGATGATGGGGCGCCCAGGATTTCCAGGTTTATGGATCTTGGGTAGCAGATAGAATATCCCAGGTCGTGGTTCCAGGGGTGTGTCTGTGCGGATTTGATCTTGTGCTTTTTCAGGGAGTTTCTTGAGCAAATGCTGTAGTTGCTTTTGGTAACTCTCAGTGGGATCAGAGTGTAATGGCTTGTAGAAAGTGGTGTTGGAGAGCTGCCTAGCAGCCTCTTGTTCATATTCCGACCTATTCATGATGACAACAGCACCTTCTTTGTCAGCCTTTTTGATTATGATGTTAGAGTTGTTTCTGAGGCTGTGGATGGCATTGTGTTCCGCATGGCTGAGGTTATGGGGCAAGTGATGCTGCTTTTCAGCCCGTGCTGAACAGACGTTCTTGTTAAACCCTGGATTTGTGCTGGAAATGGCCCACCTTGATTATCATACACATTGTAAGGAGAGTGGTCACTTTAGATAAGCTATTACCAGCAGGAGAGTGGGGTGGGGGGAGGTATTTTTTCATGCTTTGTGTGTATAAAAAGATCTTCTACACTTTCCACAGTATGCATCCGATGAAGTGAGCTGTAGCTCACGAAAGCTTATGCTCAGATAAATTGGTTAG